TTTCTCTGAAATGTGTCTGTTTTTAAATTAGAAGTCGTACCAGTAGTTCTATAAAATTTGGCAATGTGTTTTTTTTCAAACTACATAACTTGCTACTCTACTTACAATGCCTTCCAGCTGAGCAGTGGCAATCGAGACAGGCCTCGTGGAAATGTGGTCTGTGCTCAAGTCCGATAAGCCCGCCATGCTCCCCCGTATCGGCACCCGACAGCGACAGCGATGTCATAGTTCTTCACCTTTCACCTTTCTCACCCAACGGCGATGCGGGCTCGTGTTGTTTTGCTTATCTGAATCTAGAAGGTCCATTTAATCTAGCTGAACATCTCTCCATCAGGCAGCTCCTTCTGCAGCTATGTTTCAATCTTTCACGGGCAATTCTCGTCGCCCGCGGCAGGTGAACCTCAGTGGCCGAGCCACCAATCCCTTCGTTGCATTTCCCGGAAACCCGCAAACTAGACAAACACCACATGTTGCGAACCCCGAGAGCGCAGTCGCCATTGCCCAACGAGAGCGAGCCCTGAGACAGCATGAGAGAGATCGACAGACTGCATCTCGCACCGTCCAGCGAGTTTGGCGGGGTTATCAAAGTAGGAAAAGAACATACAAGGGCTGGAAGTCTGAATGGGATACCTTTGAGTGGAATAGGGTTACTAGTGCCCTTGGACTTGACGATGATCGGGGCCCAATGACGGAGCTTGAGCGTCTGGAGTGTCTAGCACGTCTTTCCGCGCCACCATATCCCACAGCAGAGCAATGTTTGGACCAGCTCAGGCTTCTGGTTCAGTTTGTGGGATTGGTAAGAAATAAGGAAGATGTTCTACGTCTGGTATACTTCTGCAATGTCTTCGAGGAGACCTTCCATTTTCTCCCTACAATCGCTACGGAAAATGACTGGACCGAGCTGTTGAAACGGCTGGCAGTCGCTATTCTCCATGCCCTCGGCTCATCGAGGGACAGTCCGACCCATGATGCAGCAGTTCTGCCTCTCCTTCGGACGATAGTATTCCTTGTTGACTTGATCCCAAAGAAGATGGCAACAATCGCCCAACAATATTATGAAACGATGGCACTCTTGACAAAGAACATTGGGCTTTTCGGAGGCACCCCGTCACCGGAGCATGTCACAAATGCTGTCCTGGCTCTTCTGAGACCAATCACCTCAGAAACCATGGCAGCTTACGAGGCCCTTGCCATGTCGTATCTCACCATTCCAAATTTGCCTGCTTACCTTGGTGAGCTTGATGGATTGGCGCACAAAATCAACTACAAACTACTGGCGCCTGCAATCGAATCATGTATTCCTATGACCAAAGAACGTCTTTCTACCGACGATGTCGAGGGTATTGAGGGTCGACTTTGGCTGCTCGCGTACTTGATCTTCTTTCACAGATATGCGCTTCCTGGCCAAGCCAACCTACAAGCACCTGACCTCGCATTCTTGAATGTCGTTTCTGGGTTGCTTAACTCGACATCTATCTACCTGACAAGGTGCTTTGAGGTGGACGAAAATGGCCTGGATCCAGTCAGGGCCCCTTGTTTGGATCAGTTCGTTGCAGATCAAGTCAGTAGCCTGGTCAACCAAAGTAGCATCACGGGACTACTCTCTCGCATCAGAACATTCCACCTTTCTCACACAGATGTATCAAACAACGAATACAATGCTTCAAAAGAAGCCAAAATCCTGGCTACCTATGCTTTGAACTTGCTGAGGGTATTCCCTCGGCGTGGAGACGACATTCGAATGTGGTTATACCTGGGCTCGGCACCCTCAGCAGGCCTGACTGCTGGCGAACCAGGCGCGAAAATACCGGCCATCAAGTACTTTTGGCAGGCATCGAAATCGAGTCAGATCTTTCACACCATCAGCAAGGACTCGACGCAAGTTCTTCCATTGCTGCAACTGCCGCAAGGTGGGGATACAGAGGATCAAGAGCAGGAGTGGACGATCATTCTCCTCTTTTTCGAGCTCTACACATTCCTTTTGAAAGTCATGGATGACGAAGAGTTTTTCTCGAGCGCGTCGCCATATGCAGCTTCACCGAATGTGTTGTCTTCGTGGACAAAAGAGAGTGCACTGCCCCTTCAGGATATCAAAGATATGACCATTTTCCTTAAAAACCTCGCTTTCACCCTCTACTGGAATATTGCCGACCTGACCAAGAAAGGGCCTGTTCTATCATCCGCTGTGGATCTGAGAAGTTATTTTAACAACACGACTCAAGTTTCTGGGTCAATCGACCGCACCGAAGTGGAGGCTAAGAAGGAAATCAATGATCTTCCTGGTGTGATAGGTATCCCGCTCGACTATTTCAAAGGCTTGGTTACAGGTTTACTCAGAATGCTGCATGAGCGAGAGTAGGTTGAAATGTTCTTTTCGCCATGATGTAGGCACTCCAGCTGACACGCTTTTAGTTCTCGTCGCAAATTCCTCCCTCAAAATCATTGGCTGATGACAGATCGATTCGACATGGAAGGCTTTATCCCAGCCGTTGTGGCAGAAGAGGAGAAACGACATGAATTCCAGGACGACGATGAAGAGTCTGAGCCTGATCTTCTTGACGCTGAATACCGAGAGCCTTCTCCCCTCGTCGGCAATAGCCATGCGCGGCGACTAATTCAAATTCAAGCCATGCGGAATAGCCAACGAAGACAAGCTCATAACAATGCTCTGGCCGCCATTGCGCCACGGCTGGAGATTCTTCGAAATATGCCTTTCTTCATCCCATTTGCCACGAGAGTGCAGATCTTCCGTCAATTTATATTTAGGGATCAACAGCGTCGCCGGAAGGGCTTCGTCGATCCTGAGTCTTGGCGCTTGTCTGTGGCCCAAAACGCCATGATAAATGGACCTCCTGAGGGTGCAGCGGATATCTTGGCCCGACACCACGCTGACATCCGGCGTGAGAGTGTGTTTGAAGATGCGTTCTCTCAATACTATGGCTTAGGTGACGGTCTCAAAGAGCCAATCCAGATCAGTTTTATTGACCAGTTTGGAGCAATGGAAGCTGGCATTGACGGTGGCGGTGTGACAAAGGAGTTCCTGACCAGTATCACCAGTCAAGCTTTCAAGACTGATGACTATGAGAGCATGTTTGCAGAAAATGATCACCATCTGCTGTATCCCAGCCCGATAGCAGTTGACCAACTCAAAAAGGTTCTCAGTGAGGCTGGACTCACTAATTCAAGCCCAGAGTGGCAGGATGACGTGCGTGGTCTTCTTCGACGATATGAATTCCTCGGCCGGATCATTGGAAAGTGTCTTTACGAGGGGATCTTGGTCGATGTCGACTTTGCACCATTCTTCCTCTTGAAGTGGGCCTTGACAGGAGGCTCTAGGTCTGCAGTGAAGGAATCATCCTATCGTGCCAACCTGAACGATTTGAAGGACCTTGATGAGGGGTTGTACCAGGGTTTGGTAAGCAGTGTCGCCCGGCAAGCTCGGGATTGTTTTTAAATGAACCTGCAGCTGACCAATTTATTCCACTAGTTACAACTTAAAAACTACCCCGGAAACGTGGAAGACTTTGGTCTCGACTTCACCATCAACAACAAAATTCGGATGCCCAGTGGAGCCAACCGCACTGTCACCGCAGAGTTGAAACCAAATGGCTCACAGACTGCTGTGACCAACAAGAACAGATTGGTCTACATTTCCTACGTAGCTCGTTACCGTCTACAGTTGCAACCTGCTCTACAGACGAACGCCTTTTTGCAAGGTCTGGGCCAGATCGTTCAACCCGCCTGGCTATCCATGTTCAATCAATCCGAGTTACAAACGTTAGTGAGCGGAGACAAGGCTGATATTGACGTGGAGGACCTGCGACGAAATACCCTCTACGGAGGCGTATATGTGATTGGTGATGACAATTTAGAACATCCAACAATTGCACTGTTCTGGCAGGTCATGCACGAGATGACCAACGAAGAGCGGCAGAAGGTCATCCGGTTCGTGACGTCTACCCCTCGAGCTCCATTGCTTGGATTCAGCCACCTTCGTCCCAACTTTAGTATTAGAGACTCCAGCGAGGACCAGGAACGTTTGCCGAGTACTAGTACTTGTGTGAATCTTCTCAAGCTGCCACGGTACTCGGACGCAGACACATTGAGGAGCAAGCTTTTGTATGCAGTGAGTTCGGGAGCTGGGTTTGATTTGAGTTAGAGAGGCGGGGGTTTGTGTAAATTTCCGGTAGAAACTGTGTTTATTAATAGTCTTAGCATTCATAGCATGGGGGGTTTCTTTTGAAAAGATCACATTTTGAAAGTAATGTACTTCGGTCCATCCGAGGTTATACTTGATAAGCCCTTAAAGCGGCAACCCCGTCCCAAATAGGACTAGTGTCCCCATCTCGTGCAGCCTCTGAGTTTTCCAGAACCAATTGCTTTTGAACGGCTCGACTTTTTTTTCTTCCCTTACAACCTCCCCCTCCATATTTGTTCTCTCTCTCTTTAGGGAAAAGTCTTCCTTTTCTTTTCGAATCCTTAATCGAAAGATACAAAATCTCAAAAAAACACGAAAAACCCAGAAAAAGACTTTTTCCAGTTATCTTATCTCATCCCCGATTGTGCGGTGTGTTGTGTGGAAGATTTTCTTTCAACGCCTCCATCGTCTTCATTTTCACCTGGTTAGTCATTTTGCTTTTTGTCCTCCCTTTAACACTCTATTGAGAACCGTTTCATCTATGCTTCTTCTTCTCTCTCCGGCGCATGTATTATACTTCGATTTCCCTCCCCGCTAACCCACTCCCAGTGCTCTTCTGCTCAAGTGAAATTTCTCTGAACTCTTTGTTTCGTGGATAATTTGCTGTATGGCACCCCTCCCTCTGTCATTGATTCACCCCTCCTTTTTCTCATTTTCCCCTTGGTTGCTTGCCAAAGAGACTGCATCAACTGCCGTGTGACCTTGTCTCATATGCCTTCTTGATTCCCCCTCCCCCTCTCCGCGATAGGCTCGGCATACACATGCTAAAACTTTTCATCTCTTAGTGAAAACAGTCGCCATTATGTCTGCTGAAGCCCCCACTACCGCTCCTGTCACCGACAACGTTGTTGCCGCTGTTCCTGAGGCTAATGGCGCTCCCGTCGAGGCCACTTCCGAGGCCGCCGGTGATGCTGCCAACAACCAGCCCCACTCGGCTTCCCTCTACGTCGGCGAGCTTGACCCCTCTGTGACCGAGGCTATGCTCTACGAGCTCTTCTCTTCTATTGGTCAGGTCGCCTCTATCCGTGTCTGCCGCGATGCCGTCACCCGCCGCTCCCTGGGCTACGCCTACGTCAACTACAACAACACCGCTGACGGTGAGCGTGCTCTTGAGGACCTGAACTACACTCTCATCAAGGGTAAGCCTTGCCGTATCATGTGGTCCCAGCGTGACCCCGCTCTGCGCAAGACTGGCCAGGGCAACGTCTTCATCAAGAACCTCGACAACGCCATTGACAACAAGGCTCTCCACGACACCTTCGCTGCCTTTGGTAACATTCTCAGCTGCAAGGTCGCCCAGGATGAGTTCGCCAACTCCAAGGGTTACGGTTTCGTCCACTACGAGACTGCCGAAGCTGCCAACAACGCCATCAAGCACGTTAACGGCATGCTGCTGAACGACAAGAAGGTCTTCGTCGGCCACCACATCTCCAAGAAGGACCGTCAGAGCAAGTTCGAGGAGATGAAGGCCAACTTCACCAACATCTACATCAAGAACATCGATCTCGAGATCACCGACGACGAGTTCCGCGTTATGTTCGAGGCCTTCGGTGAGATCACCTCCGCCACTCTCAGCCACGACCAGGATGGCAAGAGCCGCGGCTTCGGTTTCGTCAACTACGCCAACCACGAGAGCGCCGAGGCCGCCGTGGCCGAGATGAACGAGAAGGAAGTCAAGACCCAGAAGCTTTACGTTGGTCGTGCCCAGAAGAAGCACGAGCGTGAGGAGGAGCTGCGCAAGCAGTACGAGGCTGCCCGTATGGAGAAGGCCTCCAAGTATCAGGGTGTCAACCTCTACGTCAAGAACTTGACCGACGACATTGATGATGAGAAGCTCCGTGATCTCTTCACTCCTTACGGTACCATTACTTCCGCCAAGGTTATGCGTGATGCCGCTGAGCGCTCTCCCACCCCCGAGGCCGAGGATAAGGAGACCAAGGGCTCCGAGGAGAAGGAGGTGAAGACCGAGGAGACCGCTGAGGTCAAGACTGAAGAGACCACTGAGGAGAAGAAGACCGAGGAGCAGGGTGAGGCCTCTGAGGAGAAGAAGGCCGAGAAGAAGGCCTTCGGCAAGAGCAAGGGTTTCGGTTTCGTCTGCTTCAGCAGCCCCGATGAGGCCTCCAAGGCCGTTACCGAGATGAACCAGCGCATGGTCAACGCCAAGCCCCTCTACGTTGCTCTCGCTCAGCGCAAGGATGTCCGCCGCAGCCAGCTTGAGGCCAGCATCCAGGCTCGTAACACCATTCGTCAGCAGCAGGCCGCCGCCGCTGCCGGTATGCCCCAGCCTGTAAGTCACAATTTTCATGATCAGTATCTACTCAGTTACTAACTTTCACTAGTTCATGCAGCCCGCCGTCTTCTACGGTGCTGGCCAGCAGGGCTTCATGCCCCCTGGACAGCGTGGAGGCATGCCCTTCGCCCCCCAGGGCGGTATGCCCATGCCTAACATGCCCGCCGGACGTCCTCAGTACCCCGGTCCCTTCCCCCAGGGTGGCCGTGGCATGCCCCCCAACCAGCAGCTTCCTCCTAACTTCCAGGGTATGCCCATGGGCATGCAGGCTCCTGGTGGCATTCCTAACGGCATGGGCTACCCTATGCCCCAGGCTTTCGGACGTGGCGGCGGTGGCCGTGGTGTTCCCGGTATGCCCATGAACATGCGTGGTGGCCCCGGCTTCAGCCGTGGTGGTCCTCAGATGGGTCGTGGTGGTGGTCGTGGCCAGCCCGCCCCCGGCGGTCAGCCCGCTGGTGGCGAACCCGCCTCTGCCAATCAGGCTCTCCTCGCTGCTCCCCCCGCTCAGCAGAAGCAGATGCTCGGCGAGGCCCTTTACCCTAAGATTCAGGCTCAGCAACCCGAACTTGCTGGCAAGATCACTGGTATGCTTCTTGAGATGGATAACGCTGAGCTGCTTGGCCTGTAAGTTGCACTTTTCTTTCGTTTTTTATGACAATGTCTTGCTGACATTTTATCTTTCAGGCTTGATGATGAGGAGGCTCTCCGCGGCAAGGTTGATGAGGCCCTTAACGTCTACGATGAGTACATGAAGAACAAGGGTGATGGTGAGACCACCGAACCCAAGCCCCAGGAAGCCGCCAAGGAGGCCGCTGTCGAGGAGAACAAGTCTTAATTGATGTGTTCACTCTTTGTCTTCTCGGAAATCTTGGACGCACGTTTTTGACGACTTTTCCTTTCTTTTATCATTATTTGTTCCCATCTTTTACCCTCTCTGCCCCTACATCTTCTCCCTATCTCTGATCCTGATATCCCTCGGTTCGAAAAGTTTGTTCTTAGGCAGTCACCTTCCTGGTGTTTAGTTGAATGCGGTATGACATTCGGATTTTTTTTTCCTCTTTGACGGTTTTCCTAGTACGGCCTATTTTCCTTTGCCTTTCACTACTGGGCTACATTGGGTGTCTCCAGGTTGGCATTGGTAAAAGTCTTTTCTTATTCTAGGCACTGGGTGTGGTTCCTTTGACAGTCAACCTTTTCGCTATCTTCGCTCTTTTTTTTTACTTGGCTGGGAGGGATACGTGAAGTTTCTTTGTTTCTACAGCTCTCTCTCCCTTCCTTCATTCTACGTCAGATAGACTTTATGAAAATCCTCACGGAAAACTCCGGTCGTCCATGTGTTTGTTCTCGGATTCGAGAGAACAGCGCTAGACCATCAATGGGATGGCCGTGGCCTATTTTCCTTCATCACCTTTCGACCGTAGCCGAGAGATTTCTTAATTTCCGAGATTTTCGACCTTGTGGCCGCTATTGTTGGCCTTCTCCCATGACTCAGCACGTCTCGATGACCCATGGACGCCGTGGGATGGACGATTTCTGTGGAAACAATCGAGCTTTAAAGAAAAAATCTCACGGTTACGTTGATATAAACACAATGGTATTGGAATCTGCACTCAATACATCTGGAATTGGTTCCTTGACTGCACACTCGAACGAGGACTGCCAGTTCGTCGGTAGCTCAAGTGACGACTGTTTCATCAGGACAGTGAAACATGCAGAGTCAACGACTTGGATGGCTCAAGGTCAGCTGAGCCCAATTTCCCCACAGCAGAGGATACGATCGTAGGCGCTGAAACCTCACCTCGTGACAGCCAGCGCACCTCATCCTCATCCATCAGAAACACTACTTCCTCCCTGGCTGAACCTCCCGCAGAATGGGCCACGACCCATCATGGACGGCGTCTCTGGGAAACCTATCACCCCCAGATGCGGGCCAAGGGCTTGATGATGTATTCGATGTATTCGATGTTATCAGTCTGGCGCCCTCTGTTCCCGCTCCTGCATGGCCCAACCTTCCTGCAGGCAATGGAGGTCTGCTCCAATGAGAATTAAACCCAGTACATGCAAGAACCCTGCGTCGATCACCAGAGTATATGCTGGACAACTATCTTCCAACGTGTCTTCAATCTAGGCAGTTTACATGTGCCAGAATTGAATCTACCATTCGAGTCAAAGATCCTATCCCCGGCCAGTTTCAACCCTCTGCTCTGGATTCTTTCCTTTCGACATGACATGGATTCCCTGCAAGCGCCTCTGGCAATCTGAGTCTACCTCGCCGCGGCCATATCACCCCGATAAGCATTAATCGTCGGAGGCTGTTTCTTACGCTCGATGCCTCATGCTGGTCTCCACCGGTGTCAATTTCGGGACGAGCAACTCTCCACCCACGACCGACAACTACAGAAGCGGGTCCTTCGGTGCGCTTATGCAATCAAAAGATACCTACGTCGGGCTCTGGGCTTGCCGATTGGTGCACAGGATTCAGATCTTGATGTGTGTCTGTCTGCTACCCGGGAAAGGCATTCTCCTCGGGGCCAGGCGACTCAGTCTGCGACGTGCAGCGCTGTGATACGGCGCGGCAATGAAGACCATCACTGCAAGCAAAGCTTTCTTGATAGCTACGTTGACTCAGAGACTCTGACAGGCCGCGAGTTGCAGTTCTTCGACACGGATCCCGCACAGCTTGAGGGGATATCCAACTTCGACTTGAACCTGGTTGATTTCAATCAAGGGCGCTAACTTCAACATTCCATTCCATATGATCGCGCAGCAATTCCCAAGCTTTCAAGACCAGGTTACTCACTGCTGGTTTAAAAAAAATCCCTTCACACAAAAGACTCTACTATCTACGCTCTTGACAACAACTCTAATTGGATAACACAGCAGACAAAACATCACGCATATCATTCACGTAGTGGGGATGTGTATTTCTCTCGAACGCTTCAAATCTCCTCAGCCCACCCCCATTCAAGCCAGAAGCCCGCCCCAGCACCATTTTCAATCCCGATCCTGCACCTCGCGCCGGAAAAGTAAAGCCCGATTAATCCGCACTCTCCCATTCCGAATCTCCTGGCAATAGTAGTCAGCCTGCAGTTCCGCGGCCGCGAGAATGGATGCCTTGTTGGAATGGTATTCTCCCGGCACCTTGATAGAGACGCACAGGGGGTAGTCATGATGCTTGGCATGGATGGAGATCGAGGCGGTGCTTGTTCTGATGTAAGCTGCGACTGTGCGCATGAGGGTCTCGTCGTCGGAGTCCGAGTCCCGCGCCTTGATGAAGACGTTCACCCAGTTGCTGATTTGGCGTGGGTCGTACTCGGGCTCTGGGATCAGCTCCCCGTCGAAGTAGAACATGCTCTGCATCTTTTTGAGGCTGGCGGTGAGGATGTCCATCTCGTAATGATGGGGAATGGTGTTGCTTACCTTGTGGGGTTTGTTTGTGGTGTGGTGACTCGTTGGGAGGAAAGGTGGTAGATGGGAAGGAGGTGGGTTTCGAGTTTGTTTGGGATTTTATGAGCTGTGTTTATAGACGCTATCCCCGGTAATTGTTCTCTTGTTTCTAGTCGGCTTAGAAGCCTATGGAGGCAAGAACAAAGGAGGGATGGTACAATGCGATCTTCAAGGCTTTCATCTATTCCCGTATGTCTTTGTGTTTCTGGGCCTGTTGGGCCTTTGAGGATGTTCCCGGTAGTTTGCGGCCTAGTTCACGACTCGAATGCAATCTACGCGTCCTTTCTATCTACTGATTCTGGGAAGAGATCTTTCGTATGCTCCTTCGATCAGAAACACGGCATGACGGCATGACGGCATGCCAGCACACCAGATGATAAACAAGATGATAATCTCATGATAGATAATCTCCAAATCTCAGACACAAAGGATCGAGAGACTGACCAAGTTTTGGGGGGATCGGACTGCATCCCGCAAGATCAACACTCGTATTTTTATGCCGGACTCCAGCGCTGCCTATGCTCGTTATAAGACCAAACTCTCACAGCATCAATGTAACACTGTGGAGAATCGAAGGCGAAGAGAACTCGAAATCCCATTCTATCAAACAACTAGTCTCGTCAACAAGTCACTCCAAGCATCGGAAAATAGAGCCACCAAATCCAAGATCCACAGCCCCCTTCTCCCACGAACCGAACCCCGAGATCCTATCTCCGAAAAAGTAAAGACCGATTAAGATAAACAGAGCCCCTCGCAACCTGCACTCGAAGAATCTCCGCCGAGAGTTCCGCCGCAGCAAGGATCGACTCCTTTTCACCCTGTTCTCCGGGCACCGGGATCGAGATGCAGAGCGGGATATCGTAGTGCATGGCATGGCCAGTGATGCTAACGACTCTTGTGCGAATGCAGGTAATGACTGTGCGCATGATGGCGAGGTCGTCGCATCTGTAATCGCGAGCGTTGAAGAAAATGTTCACCCAGTTTGTGGTTCGAGGGTTGTCTTCGGGATCTTGAATCAATCTTCCGTTTTGGTAGAACATCCCTTGCGGACTGTTAGAAGGTTGGGTTGGGGTTGGGGTTGTGGGCTGAAGGGACGTTACCGTGTTTCCTTTGATGAATAGGGGGGGAGGTAGATGGATTCGAGTAGTCGAGTGGATTTGGCTTGTTAGAGACCTGTTTGGACGCTTTTTGAGTGGCTGTAAAGTCCTGATGAAGGGGTGCTCAGGCCGTTTAAATGTTGGACTGCAAGACAGGAGCTTCTTGAGATGGGTTCTACTTCTTTCATCTGGGGGAAGCAGGTGTCACAGTGCTATCTTTTGACCATTTTGGAGGTTTCTTGATTCATGACCTCCTGATCTGTTCCGTCTTGTGCGAGAGACCTTGGGGGGGGTCTCTTTGATGATCTTCATGCTGATGACAGGCTAGTGGTCTTCTGGATTGTTCTCAAGACCATGTTGCTCATTACTCAAACGGAAAGAGTCCTCTATAGGTTGGTTACTGTCGTTGTCATTTCGTCTTCTGGTCTATTGATAATGTCAACTAATCGGTTTAGTCCAAGTGTGATTTCAGATGACATGAGACAAAGAGACAAAGAATAGAAGGAAAGAAGAACCAAACACAATGAATAGTCTCAGACCTTCTTGAACTCCAAAGAAATAGCATCCACAACTCCGTGAGTTTCAGATATTTCCCCAAGACAGAGCGTACCTGATCCCACGGCACCTAATATTATGGCACCGGGTGTAGAGTGTCGAGGTAACCTATAGATACATGCTGTCCGGGTCGGTGATAGTGCTTCATTTCCCCTGGGATAGGTTCACAGTCGAAATTGAGTGTGTTAAGGGATATTGTGAGTTTTCTCGATGACCTGCATAGAAGCGAGACCACCGTGTATACCTTTTGACCGAGTGGCCGCTGTAGCGACACGGATGAACTTTCCGACGATGTAGGCCACACTCTCTCGATATCTCTTGATCGGCCACACAAGATCCAATGCCATCAACATGCAAATCAACAACACCAGCGTGGATAGCAACTACATGGAACCCAAGTCGCCCAAAAAATAAAAAAACGCAGCGGCTCGAAACCCACCGGTGAATTATGTCTCGAGAACAATCGACCATGCAACTGACCCGAACGGCTTCAAAGAGGACCAGAGACAGGATATGCCAAATCACTGGACTATCAACTCCCGCTCCCCGAGAGAATTCTTTCAAATTATGTCGACTGAGCAGCTATCAGCTACAATTCCTCAAGTGAATAGCGGCACATGTACCATTCCCAGACTTGAGAAGAGGGGAGTGAAGAGTTGTTCGGAGCTGCCTCTTGATACTCCTCATGGTAAGAGGTGGCAGCAAGCTGGGACAAAGCCGGAAAGGACGTAGAGACACAGAACTCTAGGAAAAAGCATGAACAGAAAGGTCCGGTGGTTCGGTTTCAAATGTCTACCCCAAGTTGCGAGATTGATAAAAAGTTCCACTGAAACGCCAAATTGTGCAGTGATCAAGCCGCCAGGTAATGCACAGGACGAGAGTGCTCCGGTGGACTGAATAAGATCTTGGCAGGGAGCCCCTTTGTTTTCATCCGCCAGTTCTGAAAAGAGAAGAGTTCTTGCTTCAGGTTTATTGTGAATCATTTGAACTTCTTCCATTCAGCCCCTGCAATACTGGCCAGGGCAGATGAACCTTGAAGTTCCGTCGTCCATCAAACAAGAATAGTCGCGTTTGTAGCTGTCTTTTTAGATTATCTCCTTTCACAGATAGTTCGCCGTTTCACTGCCGAAGAAGACGAAAACAAGAACTGTTCTAGGTATAACCTACGATCCTATGATTGGACTCTGTCTTTTTCTGGCTCTAGTATGAGTGAAGCTTGTTGATGGCACAGGGTGAAATACAACAGAAATCCCCCGTGAGGCAACGAGCGCACTAAAGAGAAAGAAAAAGAGAGCATGAGACTTGAGGATCAGTAAATAGCATAGCATATCATCGGCCTTGAGAATGGCCTTGTAGGATCTGTGGGAAAGTCACCCCAAAGCACCTTTGAACAACCCCCCCCCCCCCTCCCCTCTCTCTCTTTCTCCAAAAAAAAAGAAAGAAAAAAACAAGACACCCCATGATGGGTAAGATACACCAAAGATTCAGTTATCACCATTTGCAGGTAACTTTTGCTCTGTCCCAGATTTTTCATCTCTGGTAGAGCGGAGGGTCGACCGACGAGCATAGATCGGATCTGACGTAGGGGGGTCGGATAGGGACCCCATTACCCTCTTGCATGTTGCCATATGGCTGCAGGCGCTTGGGGTGTACTATCTGGAGATTACTCTTCTACCTAGAAGACGATTTCTAATCTCTCTATCTACTCACGTTACTCTTGGTAGGTGAAATGATTATACCAAGTACCGGTCTACATGTTCGTAATCGGAATCAAGTGAGCTTTGGAATCCACCGAGTGTTCTTTTGGAAGAGGAAGATTTTATCTGAGGATAAGAAGGGAAAAAAAAAGGTCTAGACGATGACTGGAGATTACCTCTGAGCCTGTGTGCATGTCTTGCAAGGTGTCGTATATGTCTCATCTCACCGCTTCTTGACGGGTATCGAGGGTATACACTTGGACGCCAGAGTAAAGAGCATCAAAGAGTCACTGAGATCAACGGGGGCCTCTGGAAAGGGGAGCAATAAGAACATTGGGGAATTTGACTCGAAAGGATGACAATCACCACCGTTGGCGCCAGAAACACCCACCCGGAAGGTCGACGGGAACCTCATAGGATTCCCCTTTTCTTCCACTCCCCTTCAAGGAGTTGCCTCTCAACATTTAGGCAACGATGTAGGTCTTCCAAACGGGAGCACCTGTAAGCCCGACGACAATTTGACCGGGATCAAAAAGAAGGATCACAATTAATATCATCGAAGGAGGCTAGATTCGAATATCGTAGCCCTTAATTTCCTCCGTACTTGTAAATCCCCCCCCCCTCTTTTTCACCCTAGGCTAATCCTCTAGATCCAACACCGCCATGTAATCAAGTCGCCCCTTTTGTCGCATTTCTCTAAAGAGATGAATGTGACAGGGCGAAAAAAAAGATTTACCATGAGACTCGTCCAAGGGGGGTTTAAACAAGGACTTCAAAGTGGGAGGCTTGCGAGTATCCGGAGTAAATTAAGGACTAAGATATTCGAATCTAGCCTATTTCTTTAATCTAACTTCTCGTACTTCGTTTTGATACCTTGCTCAAGTTGGACGGGAACGGTGACCGGCACAAGTGGCGACATGTAGGTGATACTACTCATCTGCTGGTCAACCCCACGTGGGCGCGATGGACTCGATCACCTACCGTATTTTGTTGTCTCTCCTCGGCATCGTGCCGTCACTGACCTACCACTCCGAGAAAGGGATGGTACACCAGGTCTTCCAAGAGCTTGGCTTTAACAGGTCAACGAGAGTAGTAGGGCCCAGCTTCTCAGTTGGAAAGCCCAGCCCTCAACTGTCCCAATGGACGGGAACAATCCCACTTCTCCATCTCTTCCGCACCATATTGCCACGATAGTACTAGTGAGTTACCGTTATCCTTTCCTGAAAAAGTCTCACGATGTTTCACACCGCATCTGAAAGCGTCTGTGTCGTGACCCACGAGGTCAAAAGGGTACCTGAAACCACAACTCCCGCAAGGACCCGGCTATACCCACGCTCGAGAGATGTGCATCACCTCCGCCATATCCATTGCCAAGACCGTTGTATCTTTGATCAGACCAGAGATATCCGCCGCCGGGCTCCCCCTTCTCTTGGCCACCGGTGCACAATACCAACCCGAAGGAGAGCATATCATCGCTTATCTAAGTCCTGGTTTCAGAGACTCTCGAAGAATTCTCTCCATCTTGGCAGAGTGCCAATCGCGCCTGGGCCACTAAAAGGGGCTAGCATCTGAGGTAGATGCCTTAAAAAAAAAAAGCTCCGGGAGACGACCAAAGGTGGAAAGCCTCGTGTCCAGAATCTGATCGGATGGTGAGATAGGTCAAAACTGCCCTCAATTCCGTAATTTCCTCATCCGAATGGAGGGGGAGGGGGGTGGCCCTCAGAGAGAAGATAGCGTTGTGGAAATAAATATAAAACAGTCGGGCTGATGTAAGCACGCTGGACAGTCGGGGAAGTCTCCCGGAGCTCTAACGAGTCCATCCGAGCTGGAACCTGGCCAAAGACCTCTTGGCAAGGCGGCTATAGCACAAATGGGAGGGTTCACGGGCTGCCAAGCCGGACCGCTGACCTGAATGGGGCCGGTCACTCGCCAAGAAAGCGATCACGGACACTTAATGGATCCGACGCCATCCCGAATCTTGGAAGGCTTGTAAGTAGACTGAGACGCCCGGGCGTCGGTTCCAATTGGGCTTGGCTGGATGCTTATGCTCAGCGGTCAACGGCCGTCAGTGGGGGATGAGAAACTCGAGTCGTTGTGTTGCGCGACACGGGGAATCCCGAACTCGAACCCGAATTCAAACGAATACGAGACTATCGAGGCATTTCTACGGAGTACGGAGTTCGGAGTACAAAGGTTTCAATCGATAGCGTTCACCTAACTTGTGGAAAAATAGAAAAATTAAAAAAAAAGAGGCGTCACTGGTAAAAAGGCTTAAGATTAAGAGTTTTCCTTGCACCGTTTTCCCTGCTTCAAAGTTCAGTGGCGTGTTTTTATTGGATTGAGCCGAAGTTCTGCCATGTTCTGCCCTGTTCAGCCACCTGATTAATTATAGTTTTCATAGGAAGAAGAAACCTTGCTGTCGTTTTGATCGTTGCTTGTTCGGCCTTACTACGGAGTAGTTTTGCTATAGAGTCCACGGCGTCCGGAGTACATTCGGGTTTCTCCTATCCTCCTCGATCATGCTGTCGCCCCCCACAGTTGCCCCTGATCTGGCACTGCTAGGTTTCACCAGCAAGGTGGCCGATGTCCACATCTCTCACGACTCTCTGGGGACTACTTCGGCGATATTTCGGCGATATTTCGGAGGTCTCGGTGCAGCGCGGGATAGTGTCGCATAGGCAGGTTCGGGGCAACCTCGGGGTTGCTATATAACAGATCCGGAGTCGAGAAGCTATCGTAGAGATGAAATCGTTGATGGAAATTGGGATAGGGAGAGAAAGCAGGTGTGGTAGACGTGACTTGGTCTTGATCGGTGTTGCCATGGAGAGTGCAGGGACCTCCAATCATTCTCCATTTTGTCGAATTTGGGAGGTGCATCTAGAGGCGAAACCAGTGTCTACCACCGAGACAAGAGCGATGCCCCAATTAGGAAGGCGGATCTAAAATTTCATCCAGGTCAGTGGGGAGGTGGGCCGCTATAGCACAACCCTAAATGAAGCTTTGAAGTACAACATACATAAATGAATGCATATCAAGTCACAACGGTGGTACTACACCATATTGACTCGGGTGATTCAACCCAACTTCGACTGGGTACCCATAGATCTAGAATACCAAATCCGTCTCCTCCTCTCCCCCTCTAGTTCTCCCTTTTCAAGGTACGAAAACGGATCGGAGCTGTTGTCAGACTGTCCAAGTCTTCACCCCGAAGAATTCTAAATTAGCCTCTTTTCTCCCGTCAGGTCCACCGCAGATTATCCGGAGATGTTTCTACCATGCCGGTTCTATTGCCTTGGTAAGGTGACTTACTACCTCGGTACATTGCGGTAGCAGCTTGTCCGTTGTTAGACCAAGTACGAGAACCCCTCCAAACGGTGCGTTTTTTATATCCGCGTACGGACGACGATTATAGTCTTGAATGGCAGAATCGGTTGCTGCGACGGACTTATTCCGAGGTCAGGTAGAGAGCATGTATCTCATCTCACCACCTAATCTAATATCCTTTCATGTACTCTTCTTTGCCCATTTTAGCCTTGAATCAGCAATCCAACTGACCATCCGGGGGCACAAATTCCGCCGGCGCAAATAGAGACGAACGTATGCCTCGGGTGTCTCCAACATTACGCCAGTGAGCGTCTCGAACCACGAGCTCCCACCCGAGCACCAAGTTGGTATCAAGGCCACACAGACAAGTCAAACTCTATTTCGCACCTGCATAAGAGATGGGTAGGGGTCAATGGCGAACACAATAGACCAGTCTTGCGGCCTGTGGGAGCGCAGGAATAGAATCCCAGATAGATCATTGCCCATGATTGCTCTCTTCGTAGACCAGTCTCTACTGGCCTGTTCACACGGCTGCTTCAAATCAAAAGGGGCAACTGGACTGATCACCAGGCTGGGCACCTGGAGATCTTCCGCTGATTAATAATACCACCGCCATTGGCAAGAACGCCTGCTTCATGGTGGATGATTTGGTCATTCTGTTTGAGCTCGGGCGCCCATTTGCCTCGATCCTGATTCCAAATCGACTTGATGAGCCTAGTGTCAAATACGATCGGATCCTTCGATCCATACTTTCCACCGTATCGATAATGTCTGTCTCGATCTCGGCACTACTGACCAGTCCAGATCAGGATTTATTGGAAAGACATGACTGTGCGCAGGAACGTTGGATCCAATACCGGGATGGACATTCCCATGAGTCTCTCTGGCCGTGCCATGCATTTAATTTAATTCGTTCTTTTTTAGATTTAAATTTTTTTTTTTTTTTTTTTTTTTTTTTTA